AAAATAATTCTACATTTTATCTCGAAATTATTATTCCTTATCCCTCGTACCAAACGACCAGTACACATCTTGTTGTTTCAACTTGATCTTAATTGATAACTAAACACTTCAACTCATCCCTCTGTATTTCGTGGACATCAATGCTGACGTGACACATAAGTTTTGAGGTGTTAGATAATCATTTTGTAAGTTAAAATGTTCAATTGGAGACGAGTTAAGATATCTAAATAAAATATACATATTCAAAGTTGAAATATTTACTTGTCAGCTAAAGATAAAATTGAATGTTTGTTTATATATTACTAATAATTATGAGTAGATTGAGTTCATAATTCTACTTGGCTAGATGTTACATTTGTAAATATTGAAACGAAGTTTTAGATTCTTAATCTCCAAAATGAAGAACAATTTGAATATCATGCGTCTCTTCTTTTTTTCCTACTCTCTCTGTTTCATATTAACTAAATTTGTGAGACAATACACAATTATTAAAAAAATAAATCAAAAGCATAATTTAAATCATACTTTTAACTATTATTCTTTGTGAAATCATTAATGTAACTTTATAAATAGTACAATTTATTAAAAAAAGATAAATATAGAAAAAGAAAACTCAAACATCTATCTCGAACTATTACGCTAGACAAAAGTTCAAGAGGGCTACATGAATGATGATGCACAATTGGTCATTACTCATAATGTTTTATTCAAAATTTAATTTGTACACGTGGAAAAAGCAAAGTATATTCGACTTTTCTATGGGTAGTATCAAATTAATTGTTTTCATTTGAACTACATTATGACTTAAATCTCCATCAATTAAATTCTGGACCCATCAATGATATATATAAGCATTAATAAAGAAAGGGTAATCATAAAGTTACCTTTGATTAGTACATTGGAATACTCATTGAAACCCATAATATGCCTTTCTGCAATCTGCATTATGTGTATGGCCAAGGTTATGGAGCTCATTACTTGGAGTCCCATTTACTATCTACTTCCTCCGTCCCATATTATAAGTCACATTTTCTATTTGCACTTGCATTAAGAAATAAGGTAATTTTATCCTTATGTCCTTATTTAATGTTTGTTTATGACAACTTTTGTAATAAATGATGAAATGTTAGATTTCAAAAATATAAATGCATTTGGATGACTATTTTAATTTTTGGAGCCAAAAATTTTCACCAATTGATCCAAAAAAAAATTTAAAAATCAAGTTTTTCCCACCTCAATTTTCCTATATATTTTGTGTAAAATGTTTTTTTATATTTTTATATATAAAGCAAACATGTTTTTTTATATTTTTATATATAAATTTTAAATTTTTCTTCAACAACCCCCACCCCACCCAACTTTTTTTTTCATTTTCCATTTGAAGAAATATCATTCAGTTCGAACCAAAATAAATTTGATTTGATTTGTTTTTTCCGTTATGATTATGTTTGAATTTCGATTATTCAATTGTGGATATAAATGGATACATAATTAGTTATATTTGAATGACAAAAAGCATAATTACTACTCCCTCTGTTTCAATTTATGTGACTTACTTTCCTTTTTAATCAGTTTTAGATAGAATGACACATTTCTATATTAAGTACAAACCGTTTAACTATAAAATTTTTATTTTACCCTTAATGAAATGATTTACAGCTACACAAATTTCTATCACTCATTTTGAACCACAAGTTTTAAAAGTCTTTATTTTTTTTTAAAATTTCGTTCCGAGTCAAACTATCTCACATAAAATGAGACAGAGGGAGTATAAAGAAAGAGAAGTAATAATGTCAAGTTTCTTGATTTTCTCTAAAAGAATTCAATTAACGTAGTGATTGAAATAATTGACATTACTGCTGATAAAATAACTATATATATTTGATGAGATTATCAGACACTCCTAATATCTTATAAAACCATAATGCAATATGCTAACAAGAATAAATTGCACATCTAATATCTATATATAAAAAATGTAGTTTTATTTAATATAATGCTAGTTGATTTCTTTAATTAATTACTCTTATTATATACTCCAAGAATGGATAAAATGCATGTGTATTGTCCATGAAAATAATATAAAGCAAAGTACGGCAGAATCTTAACTCTCCACACGACGTAAATGTAAAATAAAGAATTCATAAGATCTTTAGGTAAGATCATATGATCTAGTAAAATCATGAAGCAAATAAGAGAGAATTTTATAAAATAAAGTGACTTATAATAGAACAAAATTTGCGTTATTAGTAATGATCTCTTGGAAATAAAATAAAGTACTATTCCCTCTGTCCCAATTTATGTAACTCACTTTTTTTTTTAGTCAGTAAAAAAAAAATTACACATTTCTATATTAAGTAATAATTTAATTATAAAATGTCTATGTTACCCTTAATGAAATGATTTAGAACCACACAAATTTCTATCATTCATTTTGGACCACAAATTTTAAAAGTCTTCATTTCTTTCTTAAATTCCGTGCCGAGTCAAACTACCTCACATAAAATGGGACGAAGGGAGTATAAAGTTTTACTGATGGCGAATTGCAATTAGCTTCGCAAAGAATATATAACTCTCCGCTAATCAAAAAAAATCTTGAAAGACAAAGTGAAGCGGAGGAACTATTCCATTCTTAATTAGATGTTTCGGGTTCAATTTTTTATTATGAAGAAACTTTTGTTGAAAGTGTCACTCTCGAACGAGCTTGGTAGTGCGTTGATTTCTTTTGGTAAGAAATATAAAAGAAAAAAGAACATTTTTGAATCACAAGGTTTTGAAACAAAAATATGTAAAATGTAATAAACTATATTTTTAATCTTCTAAAATTAAACATATTATGTGGATAATTAAAATTTAAAACATATTTAAAAATGAGCATTTTTTAAATATTATTCCCTTTGTCCTAGTTTATGTGATTTACTTTATTTTTTAGTCAGTCCCAAAAAGAATGACACATTTTTATATTAAGTAACAACTTAACTATAAAATATCTATTTTACCCTTAATGTAATAATTTATAGCGACACAAATTTCAATCGTTCATTTGAACCACAAGTTTTAAAAGTTTTTTTTTTAAATTCTGTGCCGAGTCAAACTACCTTACATAAAATGGGACGGAGGAATTAAAAGAAAATGGGGTAAGTGGACAGATGTCAATTCCCTAGTGATGCCACTTATGTAGTCTAAGAAGCTTAGATTGGTGCAATAATTAGAGGAAAACATACGACAAACATGTGAAAGAGAGGTCCTAATCACATGCTATACTCCACATGTTGGTTAATGTGTGATTTTCTATACACCAACTCTCTCAATAAACTTTTTTTTCTGATGTTCGATATTTATATTTTTATATAGAAATTTGATTAATTTAAATTTGCAATATATAAAATTTCATTAGGGAAGCAATCTCTATCAAATTTCTTTATATATCTAGAACTTGAATCTCAGATCTTGATTAAAGAAAAAATAATTTCATCCACCGCACTAAATCTTCGATGGTAACTAACCATTTCACTCACAAGTCATAACACCTTCCTATTTGTCACTTCCAAATTCCCTCCTAACTTTTTTTAAATCCTTTCTTATCCATTCTCATGACTTGGATGTTTATTGTTTCGATTAAGGCATGGTTTCACTTAACATAAAGTTTAGAATTTTCTTTTAAAAAGTTATAATTTAAAATAAATTTAGATCTTTATATGAATTATAAATTGTTTTTTTTTAAATATCGTCCTATTTTTTACATAAACAACGACAATAATAAAAAATATGTTAGGTAAATCAAGACAGGTGGAGTGATAGTTAGAAATTGCTAGTTTTGTTAAATAGCTTTCTTCACATTATTTTCACAAATTCTGTAAAAAATAAAATCATCTAATTTCTTATATTGGTCCTTTTTTACCAACAAAAGATGATTTACAAGAGGTGAAAAAAATTGCATGTCAAGTCCCATATAAGTCGTACTCTGTTCATTTTAATTTATTCTGATATATTTTAATTTGATGCGGAGTTAAAAAAAAATAATAAAAACTTTTGAATTTATAGTCTTAAATTAACGATATACCAAATGCATTCAAATATTCTTTAATCTCGTGATCTTAAACATGTCGTGTGAAAGTCGAAATTAGAAAATTGCAAAATTAAAAGAATATTTTTTTAAAATTAACAGAAAAATAAGTCAAACAAATTAAAACGGAACGAATATACAGAAAATTGAAAAGAAAGATGAGCCACACCATATATTTTTTTCTTTAATATAAAGTACTGTACGGGTGGAATGACATTTTCATTATAACGAGATGTGCCTTCTGCTTTTTGTCTTTTGGAGTAGTACACAATGCCTATAAAAATAACAGTCTGAAATAAAAGCTGGTAAAATAATTTTCAAAGTGTTGTTGTAATCTTTATTTTTTATTTTTATTTGATATATTTTTTTTCATCGATATTTATATTGAAGCTCGAAATTAAATCCTCATTGACACCCAAGATTCTTAGTTTCACATATACACCGAGAGTAAATTAAAACTTTTTCTAACAAAGACAATTTTATATACAATGAGAAAACCAAATGTTTTAATTAAGAATGAAAAAATAGTTACTATTCTACCTTGCAACTTGAAAATGAAAATCAATGAGGTGTTTTAATAAGAATGAAAGAGTCAAATTATAAGAAGTTATTGCATACGATATCACCATACATTTTTGGAAGAGACTATTTTTGTAATTCGAACTCATGTCCTCTTAGTCAATGACAATAACTTTATCAGTTACACCAAGACTCCCTCGAAAATACGAAGAATAGTAAAAAATAAGTAAATACATGTGTAATTAATGCAAAATAAGAAATATTTAGAAGCTGATTATATTTATCTGTTCAAGTTCCATTGAACCAAAGTACAAAATTGGTGATAATTAGAGAGAGATTAAATATCTAATGGAAATTAAACCTCTCTAAACATCAACCTCTGGCTCACATGAATGGAATCATTTTTTTTTTTGGTAATTAAATTCCAAAACCTAAAAGTGACACTAAAAACATCATAAAATTACAGTCACAAATCCAAAGAACTACTAATAATATTACAACAAGTACTAAATATTACTTAATTATTTTTTGAGAATATTTGATTAATTTTTTTTTATTTTTTTTATTTTCAAGAAAGAGGAGATCTTTGAGGGGCTCCTTTTCTCCTATTGCTTAATGAAAGCACAAGCCCTGGAAAAAAACCACTGTTTTTTTTCTTATTTTTAACCATACGTCCATCGTGTGAAATACCGGAATTGCCCATGACATTGTTTGAACAAGATGAACCTCTGCATTCTAATGGATCTTCTAAGATGGAGTTAGGAGTAATTTGGCTTTCTTCATCGATCAAATCGGAGGTGTCCACGTGGAGTCCTTCGAATTGTGAGAGTGCAAATTCAGAATCATCAAACCTATAGATGATGTTTGATAAATCTTCACCTTGATACACCATAAAATCAACCTGCATTATATAATTCTTGAGTTCATAAGGGTAAAAATGTAATTTGCACACTATTTTTTGACATACTTAGCCACATTTATGACTAAATATTTGATAACAGCGGCAGATACAGAATTCTCACTCGGTTTGAAACGTAAAAACGAACCCTAGACATTGGGGTGCATTTTAAATAACCTAGACCGTTGAGCTAACATTTTGCATGTTGTTTAAGGGATTCAAAATTTATATATGTAAATGAACACATAAAATCTCATTCATATATATAGTGTAATTTTTTATCAATAGGATTCAGATGAACACAGAAAATCTCATTCATATATATAGTGTAATTTTTTATCGATAGGATTCAGGTGAACACCCTCAATGTTTGTTATAGTACTACGTACTCCAACTCTCATTTTTTCATGTGATATTATAACTACTCTTAAAAAGTGTCAATATAACTGAATTCATTATATTTAAATTCTGAATCTGCCTCTATTTTTTTTTTCGTTTGGTTGGTGGGGGGGGGATAGAAAAGGAATAGAAGGTGGACCTTGCAAGAGAGGGAACAAAAGTTGAAGGGGTGTTGAAGAACTCTGTCACAAGTGAAACAAGAGTTGCCAGAAGCCTTGCATGACCTTGATTGTGCTCTTTGGTTCAAGAATATAACTTTGGCACTGTTTATTGTGTAAGGCTGTAAAACAAACAAAGAAATAACATATATTATTATAATTTTTTTAAATAAGATAATTAAATTCAACAAGTATATATTGTCATTAACAATAATAATAAAAAAATACCTGAATATAGGAACAATCAATGAGCTTCTCTAGGTCACCCAATCTTATAACATTTTGATATACATATCTTCTCACCTGTAATTATAATTAAATAGTTACCACCTATTATATCAAGTCATGTAGTAAGTTACTGTTGAAATTCTTTTACCTTTTTCATATGTCTATTCATGTAAAATTGTGTTCTATAGTTGGAGATTCATCTGAATTCCTTCACTAGAGAATTACGTTGTATATACAAGATCGAAATTATTTTATATGTATTAAAGAAAAATAGAAAATTGAATTCTCTTTAACTTCTTCGTATGACATAATATGGTGTTAAAAGTTCTTATTTAACTAAATTTAAGGAATATTACATCATTGATTATGTAGTTCTCCAACCTAAGTATATATATATATATAAACTTGAAATTTAATAGGAAAAAGTAAGGTAGGCAAGTTTGAATTCAAGAGAAGTGAATGTGAATAAATTTAAGTGAAAGAGAAATGAGTACTGAAAATATTGGGAAAAAAAAGAAGACAAAATAGAGTAATGAAATAAAAAAAGAAAATAATTAATTTTGAGAATTGGGTCAAAACAGTGTTTGAAAGCAACAGGTGCTTTGCAGGAGGAAATTAGGTGTTAAAAAAGAAATGTTCTAAAATTGGAAAGCAAACAATTCCAAAAAGTGGAAACTATAGCCTTCCAAATACACTACTTCTAGTAATTGACTACACAATATACAAATTCAAGGCACATCAATCTTGGATATTGTAAGGAAACATTTACCAAAAATACAAAATTAAGGACGAACAAAATTTTGTAGTTAAACAGTAAAAATCTCATGCTAATTCTATTTAATTATGAATTAGCGATGAATTATGTGAAAATTTAATTAGCCACAGAAAACCTTGCGATAAATTTCACAGTTAACTTAATGTTTTCTAATAGTGATTGAAACATACTCAAGAATATTACTATGATTATAATTATGCTTCAATTCCAAATAAGTGAGAAAAACTACATGATTACTCAATATTTATGTGGCTTCATTTAAATTCATCAATTTAATAATTAAAAAGAAAATTACTTATTTAATTTCACAATTACTTTTTTTTTTTTTTAATACAGATATTTTTACACAGATTTTAGCTAGTCCCACCTTCTCTCTCATACAACCTCCTATGAACAAAGTGAAGACAAGGAGAAGTTTTTTAAATTTCACCTCAATTTTGTTGTTAGTTCCCAAATTCTATTTTTGAAAAATCAACTTTATTATTGTCGGATAATAAAATTAAAATTCAAGAAAATAGCAAAATTCGAAATCAAAAGAGTAGATAAAAAATTAAAACTTACTTACTCTAGTAAATAAAAGGAACCAAAACCTCAAAAGGGAACAAGATTTACTTGTTTAAGTTTTTTTTTTTTTATTACTTGACAACTCGTAATAATTATTATCTCAAAAAAAATAATTATTTATTAAATATCTTTTTAAAAATGACTTTATGAAATAATACTATAAATAAACCTTGTTTTACATACATAATTATGAGTACTACTTTAAAAATATAATTTCATTTCCATCTGTCCCAATTAATATAGTATAATTGAAATTTCAAGATTCAAACTTTTAAACTATAATTATGAATCGAACATAGAAGCTTTAACTATTTTAAAATAAATTTGAAAACTACGTTTTATACATCACAATATTTAATAATAAAAACTTAATTGAGTCTCAAAATTTCAACGATATCACATAAATTGAGTCGGAGAATCAATAAAAGTGTAGTAGAGGAACCTGTAGAAGAGGATGTGAGTGATGTTGTGGTAGGCAGTGAGGGCAAAAACTTTGACAACACTCTAAGCAAAAGATGTTTTTCTCATTTTTCCTTCTATTGTGATGTATTTCACATCCTCCAAAGAAATTCTCAGACATTAATCCTTGTAACCATGCAGGTTTCATCATCTCTTCCATCTTGATTTTCCTTCTTCTATTATTATATTATATTTATATATGTTGAGAAAAAAGGTCTAAATTATGTGTGTAATATATAATAGAATTGTATATATATATAAGTAATAGAGAGAGGGGTGAATGAAGGAAGGTAAGTGGCTACCTTATGGGGTGATGGGGTTGGAGAGGTGTGGGTTTGATGGGATGGTCATGAGTACATATTTTTTGGTTTTGCTACTCTTCTATTTATAAAAAAATAAATATATTGTTGCTTCCAAGAAAGCTTAATATATATATCTATATCGAATTCTTGGTCTGGTTTTGACTTGCTCAGAGTTTAAAGAAAATAAGTATACTTTTGAATCTTGTAAGCGTTTAAACTAAAGATGTGAGAAATGTACTCCTTCTCGTTTCAATTTGTTTATATGATTTGATTTTGACCTGACATTGATTTTAACAAAAAAAAATTAATTTTGTGTTCTTAAACTAAAAAAATGTGGGATGTTTCAAAATATCATTTAATCACGTAATTTTAAACATGTCAGGTAGAAAGTGACAATGAAAGATTGTAAAAAAAAGAATCATTTTAAAATAAATTAAAATGGAAAGTAGGACAAATAAAATTGAAATGGATTGATTATTTGCTTTGGGACTTAACTAATTTGAATTCAATTCATAATAAAAAATTCTTAATGGCAAAAGTCTTGCACGTTTTTGTGCTAAAAACATATATACATCATATTGTGCTTCTAAACGTTCCTTATCTTATGTAACTTCATTTTCAATATGAGGTATCTAATAAATGATGAAAGAGTAATTATTAACACTAATTGGTATCTTAGAACAAAAAAATAAGTAGAAATATTATAACAAATTAAATTATATTAATGGTATAAAAATTAATTTCTATGTTTTAGTATGTAACTCAATTTTTCAAGAGAATCTTGTCTTTTTACATTTTTTTTTTGTCAAGAGAGTCGATTTACACAAATAAACATTAGTATAAATAGATAAACAAAGAATATCATTTTGAAATACCAGTATCTTTTAATAGGAGAGTTTATTAGTATAGAGTAACATAGTATAGGAATACAGGTATAGCATGATTTGTGAATATTTTACGAATTCGAATCGTAAAATTAATTATTAATACTTGTATCAGATCAAACTATTTACATTATCATGTACTTCCCTAAATCTTACGAAAACATGAAATACTTTTTACTATCAAATTACATTTTCAACCTCAAAACCATATTATATACTTGTCAAATCAATCTTTTATCTACAAGGGAACAATCTATATACATTGAATATTGAGAGAGAAGGTTGCAAAGGATTAGTGTCCCAACTTGTAGCATGACATGACTATCTAAAAGTTCAATTCTTTCTATATTATATTAATTTTATTGTTTTAGTTAAGTAAACTTTAATTTTTTAAACTGTTCAAAATAAAAAATAACACGAGTCTTGATAAGATTGGCTTATGAGATTGGGGAAAGTGTTGCAAATTGTGGGAAGATGGGCCATTAACATGTGAGTACTTAATAAAACAAAGAAAAACACATGTATGTACTTTATCTTTACCCCACTCCACTCTCAATCAAAACATAAAAAGAAAAATAAAAAAATCATAATAATAATTTAAATATTCAATCTTTTTTTTTTTTATGAATTTAAGCAGCAATGTGCAATATACAATTAGTGTATAATCACTAAATATATAAGCATATACACTTAGTATACAATAAATATATACCAGTAACATCACAAACTATTAAGGTTAGGTAGGTGAAATTTTATAGCCATATCAAGAAAAAAAGATGAATCCTCCTAAATGGCAGCTTTTCATTTAATTGTATCGTTTACCTTCAAATGATTTGGGTATTTAATTTTTGCCCATTGACAATCGAATTTATGTCTAGCGAGGCATAAATTCTTCAAGGATGAGACATAACTTATGATATAATATGATGCCCAACAATCACTTTTTTTACATTGAAGATAAGAATTTAAAAGGGGAATTTTCGCATATAGTCACTCAAAAATAGCTTAATTATGCTCCATAGCTATAGTTTGCTAATTACGATTGGTAGCTACATGTTATAGGGAGGAAAGTGGCGAACAAAGCGAGAGAGAGCAGAGAGAGGTGAATTGTGTGTCTCTGTGTGTGTACATATACATCAATTAGATAATTTGTACAAAGAGAGAAAGACAAAAGAGAACTGGGCAGGGAAAGATTTATATTTGTATAATTATTAGTGTATAGTGCGGAGAGATATGTATTTGTATTTATATATCTCATCTCTCTCGCGTTATACAAGCACAAATTATACATTTGTGTTTGTATAAAGTGAGAGAGAGAGAGAGAGAGACTGGGCAGAGAGAGGAGAGAGACGAAGGAGATATGACTGAAAAAGAGGAGAGTGACGAGCGAGATTCCAGAGAGAGGCGAGAGAGAATGTAATTATAGCTAGAAATAAGTTTTGAATTGTAATTAATGCAAACCGTAACTATTTTAGCTAATTAACTAGTACTCCAATTAAAAACCACTGCAAAATAGAGGGAGAAATGCAAAGGCCCACAGGTTTTATGGGAGCAGCCCATTTCGTGACAACCAGTCAGCCCACCCTCTAAAGCCCAACAATCTTCTTTTTTTTAAAAAAAAGAAAAATAAATAATTTCTCCATGCTTTTTGAGCAAAATTTAGTAGCTCAGTTAGTTGGTTACTTCAACTTTCACCTTGTCGGTGAGGGTCAATTCCCCATCTCATGATCTCCTAAAAAACTGCATATTAAGGTGAAATTGCATTTATTTATTTTATTTTATTATTTTCATTAATTTTGCTCTTTTTTGCCTTGACTAGATAATAAATTACAATATATATTTTTTAATGTAGACTTAATAGATCGAACAAGTTTGTACCTACCTAGCTAAAAATATTTAAGTGAATTTGCATCTCATATTTATTCATTATCATACTAGTAGTTTTTTCCTTTATTTCAATTTTGTAAAGCCATTTACAGGGGATTCAGCAAACCAACTTTACTAAGAGGGTTTAATGAAAAGTTTAATCATGTAAATGACAATATACTTTTGTTTTTTTCTCCAAGTAACTCACAAAAAGTATAATTAAAAAAAAGAACTCCAATTTATATTCATGACCAAACATATCAATTCCACTTGAAAATAACAATTACATACTTTTTTCAAATTTCATAATGAAATATAACGCTCACTAAATTAATATAATTTGACCAAGATTTTTATTATTTATCTGATTTCATCCTATTCTTTTCCTTATTTCAAAATAAATTACTTTTCCACTTTTTACTTTTTCCTGTTTCTTAAAGTTTTCATCCCAGCTCATATCTTTTAATCTCATTTCTTTTTTTTTCCTCAATAAATCTTTCTTGCTTCTTCTTTTTCATCCTCATCTAGAATCGTTTCTTTTCTAATTTTTAATCGGCTCTCTTTTCTCTCACAAAACATTTTATATATTCTCATTTTGAATTAGATTTGAGTTAATTTTAAATTTTATTTTTTTGGAGTTTAATAGTTATTTATATTGGATGAACTTTCAATTGATTCTAAATATCAATAAAAGTTCAGAACTTAATATTGAAGTAATTTGGAGTAAAATTTTAGGAGAGGAGCAAAAAAGAAGATGAAACTTATTTTTATATATAGTGTAGAATATTGTATAATAGTGTTTATGAAGTGTATGGACATCTTTTATAATTTTTGTATAATATTATATAATATAGAGTTATATATATATATATATATATATATATATATAATTGTGTATCGAATTTTTTAACATGGCTATAGAAAAATCATGAATTATATTGCTGAAAACTCAAAATTTTGACTATATAGATGCAATGTAATATTATGAGCTGTGAATAATCATTTCAACATTAAAAACAACAAAATTTATAACAAACATATAATAACGGATTCAAAATTTGTTGGAATTTGAACACACCTTACAACCATTATTCATTATATTCTCATTTCCTTTTTATATATTATAAAATTTTCTAGCATACTTTGTCTCATTTTAGCTTTTCCTCGAAATGATGACAAAGTTGTCCTTGTTAATACTATTAATTTGTATTTGATTTTTTTTTATATAACATATAGTATTAAACTTGTAAATCTCATTGAATAGTGAATACTACAACAACAAGTGCACAAAACTGTTTTTGAAGGACTCGAAACACCAAATTCCTGTCCTTTGTTTGTCTTTTTTAATTTTTGGAACTTGTGTAACTTAACATTAAAATTACTATATTTGAAACATTTGTAGGTGATTATTTTTGGCTAATTGCACTTATTGGTTGGTCTAGTTCGATAGGATTTGGGATTATTTTTGGCTAATTGCACTTATTGGTTGGTCTAGTTCGATAGGATTTGGGATTAGATACAGTATCATGTGAAAAAATTATATTAAATAATAGTTAGTTATACTATTGTTAATTAGTAAATTTGCGTAAATTTATATGTATTTGAAAGTTTGTAATAACATGTAATTGTAAATATTTATTTATAAAAAAAGAACATGGAGATAACGATCTATTAATGTGTCGACTGAGGATATTCTTATACCTTATTTATGAACTATAGTTTGCTCATTTGATAAGATTATATACGTGTGTTGAAAAAGTTTATAGTTTTCATAAATTGTGTGATTTTTATGTTTATGAAGAAGAAGAAAAAAAATACTAACTTAAAAACTCCAAATTGTTTGTCCAAACAAAATTTCAACTTAAAATCAACATCATTTAACCATAATTTCAAATCATATCAAAACGGTCCCTTAATATACAAGAAGTTTCAAATTTTGAATTTAAGATAAAATAGAATCTTACCTCCTTATAAGGATATGAATATTTAGCTGTAGAACGTAATTTTTTCTGCTTAAATCGGATTAAAAGAAAATAGATTAATTTAGTAACTTTCTTAACGATCAAAATTTGACCTCTTATGTTTGTGAATTAAAGTAAGGAGAAGGTTAGGAACTGCCTGA